GGCTCCAGCAGGGCTGAGAACCACCTGGGGGGGCTAGAGAGGGGGCGCGAGCTGCTAGCCCTATGCTGCCTGCCGTCGGGTGGAGGAGGCTCTGTGCCAGGGCAAAGGTAGCAAGGCCTGGAGCGCTGCTGCCTGCGGAGGGCACCCCGGGACATGGGCTGGGAGAGGCCAGGAGTGCGGCCCCTTCGTGCCAGGCCGGCGCTGCTGTCACCCCCACGCTTTCCATATGCTCAGCTGTTTGGCCGTAGTCCTGCTGTCTCCCCACTGCCCTCCTGGATGGGCTGTCCCCGGCCCCGGCCCCGGGGACGGTGCCGGCGCTGCCTGGCGGGTGCCCGTGCGAGTGGAGGGTGCCAGCCGCGCGCGGTGAGCTCATAGGTGCGAGGTTGCGGTGGGTGCGGGGACTCCGGCTAACTGTGTCTCCGTCTCTCTCTCCTCACCCCGCCGCCCTGCCGCTGCTGCCCTGGAAACGCCTCACTCCCACTTATTGGGTTTTTTTGGTCTGTTTTCTCTTCTGTTTGTTCTGGTTTCTTTGGATGTTGTTTTTCCTCCCTGAATCCAACTCCTGCCTCCCGTGGCCCCGGCGACCCCCCCATGCCTCCCTGCCCTCCCCACCCAATCTCCCTGGTTTTGGCTGCATTTTTTTGCAATGCCCCCGCCTGCAGTCGGCTCTTTCCTCTCTCGCTACCCCAGGCCTCAGGCGCTGCCGTTCCAGCCTCTGCTCTTCCATTTCTCGGCCGACGGGAAGTCTCTCTACTGCAGCTCGGACCCGGTGGTGCCTCCCCTGCCCCTTCTCCCCTCCCTTAACTCCAGCTTGGAGAGTGTTGAGCTGAAGTCTCCCGTCCTCTTCGCGGCCCCCTTCCGCCCCCCGCTGAAGACCCTGTCCTGCGATGAAGCCTGTCTCCTGGCCAGCAGGAAGGGGGGTGCCCTGGGCGCCCTCTCCCCCGAGGAGCTGCTCCCCATCCGCCTCTCCCCTGTCGGGGCCTACTCCCCGCCCCACCGGGGAGGCCTGCCTTTCCTGGGCAGCCCGGACCTGTCCGTGCTCCTCTCCCCGTTCTTCCCGAGGAGCAGGACCCTCCCCGCCATGGCCCTCCCGCCCCACGAGGCCGCCGA